CCGGCCCCGGGCCGCGCCACCGGCCGCTGGCCTTCGACACCGAGCTGGTCAACATCGGGGGCGACTTCGACGCGGCGGCCGGCGTGTTCCGCTGCCGCCTGCCCGGCGCCTATTTCTTCTCCTTCACGCTGGGCAAGCTGCCGCGCAAGACGCTGTCGGTGAAGCTGATGAAGAACCGCGACGAGGTGCAGGCCATGATTTACGACGACGGCGCCTCGAGGCGCCGCGAGATGCAGAGCCAGAGCGTGATGCTGGCGCTGCGGCGCGGCGACGCCGTCTGGCTGCTCAGCCACGACCACGATGGCTATGGCGCCTACAGCAACCACGGCAAGTACATCACCTTCTCGGGCTTCCTGGTGTACCCCGACCTCGCCGCCGCCGCCGCCGCCGGCCCGCCGGCCCTCAAGCCCCCCGAGCTCTAAGCCCCTGCTTGGAGCAACCCGGGAAGGCCGTGGGGGTGTGCATGCCGAGCCGGGACCGCGGCCCGAACGCCCCACCGCCCGAGCCTAACAGCCTGCTCGACGCGCCTGGACTCTGCCAATAAAGTGGGCCTGCCCCTGCCAGCCTTAGGGTCCTGCCCTGTGTCTTGACTGTGATGCCTTTGCCTCCCCCGCTCCCCGCGACGGGACAGGACTAACCTGACTAGTACAAACCATAGGGCCTAGATGGGGTGGGGTGGGGGGTCAAGCCTGGTAAGAGTGAGAAGGATTTGAAGCATGTTCTCACCTAAATTCAGGTAGGCCTCACCTTCATGTCTGTGTCCAGTGCATCCCTCCCTCTGACTTCTCACTGACCAATGACATTCTTCGGGCCCCGATTATGCCTCTCTGTGACAGGGAATATCATCCTACTGCCCTAACCTACTAGGAACACAGGATTCAAGGAAACAGCATGCTCCTTCTTTCAGCAGGGCATGGGACTGAGATAAAGGCTGGACCTGGTTGCCCTGCCTCCTGCCCTCCCAGAATGGGCTGAGTGATTTGCTCAGAACACTGTTAGCGCAAGTTGTCTTAGGCACAAAAGTAAGACGGGCCCTGGGAGGCCAGAACAGAGCTACCCAGAATCAGGGCAACACACACCCTACACTGCCTGAGCCAGGCTCTCTGCGAGGGTCTTCGCCCAGCTTGAGATGAAACAAAAGAAGACCTTTTTCTTTCCTCTCCACAAAGAGGTGTAATGTTCCTCCCACCTTTACCTTCTACGCCCCTTGTAAACAGAGCCACTGAAGTCCACACGGGGACTCTGCGGTCTCAGAGACCATAGAGTCTTGGTTAGCTTTGAAATGAATCTCTTAAGACTGGGTGACAGGCACACAGGGTTTCCATATTTCACAGGACTGCCGGGATAGTAGAGGAACTGACGTGGATTACCTTAGGGCTGCTTTTCTTTCAGCATGTATTAAATTAAACACACCTTTCAACGCTGACCTCTGGACATACCTGCATGTAACCACTGGCTGCCAGTCTTGCCCTTACCTTAGCACTGTGCTTATTGCCGAAACCCAGGCCTTAGCTGGGTCTATGGAATGAAACTAGGAATAAGCATGAGTGGTCAAGAGCCAGGGGCCAAGCTAGGCCAGAGATCTGACTAGGAAGAACCAGAGGCAGATGGAGTCCTGTCCAGGGTAGAGAAAGGTGATGAGCAGGGGGATCAAGTCAAGTGAAAGGGAAGGGTCAAGGGTCAAGGATGGAGGCCCAGGAACCCCCACCCCGCCCCCCAGGACAGAAACTCTTGCACAGGTCCAAAGTGTTTCCTGTGTCAGGAGGGCAAAGACCTGGGCCCAACAACCCCTCTCCTCAGCCTCACTGGTCTCATGGAGCTGATAGACACACACCAGGCCTATAAGAAGCAGATGCTGACTATCCCAAGGGCTAAGAGGCCGTCTCTGAAGATCCTAGAATTGCTGTAGCCATTGCTTAGCACCCTCCGAATTACTGGGCAGGTGCTGCTGCAGGAGCCTGAGTCCACGGCCTGGATGTGTGGATCCTGGTTTCTCATCCTGGACGTACAGCTGTCTATGATGTTCACTTCTACCTTGGCCCAGAGCAGCTGCAAGAGGAGCTGTTTTAGGGGTGGGCTGTCCTTAGGGGTCAGGCATGGGAGCAAGAGTGGGTAAGGCGTTGGGGAGGCCATAAACTGGTGGAAGGAACTCATGTTGGCTGCCCCTTACCACAGGAAGGTCTACCCTTAGCTCTCTTCCAAACCCATGGTCCAGGCTAGGAAGAATGGAACTTAAGCATCACTTCCGGGCCCTCTGGCTCCTGGAGGCCACTTCCCACAACAGAGCTGTCCATGGATTGGCCTGAGGCAGTAGAGACGAATCAGATCCCTGCTGATCCTTCACTCTGAACACCCAGTCTCCCAGAAAACTTTTCTGTTGCCCAGGAGGCATCTTTATCAGAAAAGTTCATGGATGCCATCTCATGTCCCCTCCCCTATTCCAAATGCACATATATGCATGCTGATAGTCACCCTCCCAGGCATGGCTCTTATCCCAGTGCATGCCAAGTCTGACTCCCCTCTTGGCAGAAACCTAACATGACTCCTGTAACTTGCACAATGCCCAGATAGAGTTCCAGAACAACAGTAAGCACAGAAACTCATCTCCATAGGCTTTCCATACCGTCACCCACTATAGCACTCACCCGGCCCACAGCTCCTCCTCTGCCATGTGAGGCTAAAGAGCCAACTGTACCTGGTGTCGGCCAACAGCCTTTTCTTGGCTCCTAGCTACCCACCCTGAAGCCCTTGAATCACCTGCATGATTCTGAGCTAAAGCCCCCCCCCCCCCAGGGAGGAGACCAATGGCCATCACTGGACAGAGCAGGCACTGTAGTGTCCCAGCCATGTCGTCTGTCTCTTTTCCCCCAGAAGTGCTCTGCTCTTCATCTGCCTACCATAGCCCCAACTTTCCCTACAGGCTTCTGCATTCCTTTGTGTCAGTCTTCAGTGCTGGGTAGGGCAGGGCTGGCTCTGGCCTCATTCACCTTCTGGGGGCTATTTTCACCCCTCAGAGGTGGGGACTCTTCAGTTTTTCACAAGCATGTTTGTTCTTGCTCAGACGGATGGGCTCTCACCCTTGGCTCAGCCAACCCGATGGATGTTTAGGTGGGAACACAGGAGATTGGGGTTTTCCTGCCCCACCCAGGCCCCTGGATCTATCAGCTGCTTCCAATACAGCCTGCTGAGATAAGGGCTTTCTTCAGCAGTTTCCAGGCCCTTCAGTTGTCACTACAAAACATGCCACACCTATTCCAAACCCCAAGGACTGTGAAGACCGAATTATAGCTCCAGGACCCCCTAGAAACACATGTGTCTACAACGGTAGCATACTGTCCCGTTAAACAGAGGATTTGGCAGGGACAGCTCTACCCACCTCTCCTGAGTCAGGGCCATTTCTACCCAGTACAGCACATGAGGGACGGGGAAGGGAGCACCTCAGCAGAAAGAGCACACACCGCTGAGCCTGAGTTCCATTCCTAGAACTCACATGGTGGGAGATCACTCCTGCAGATCATCCCCTGACCTCCATATGTGCTGCCACCCCTGCTAAATAGTAAACGTTTGAAAAACACAGGCAGCCAGGCGGTGGTGCCTGCCTTTCATCCTAGCACTCAGGAGGCAGAGGCAGGCAGATCTGAGATCCAGGACAGCCAGGGCTACACAGAGAAACCCTGTCTCCAAAAAGTAGCCAACCAAACAAACAAAAAACACAGAGGAAGGGGTGAATGTCTCTAGGAGTTTATTTACACAGACGACCATAGATAAGTCATTCTTCCTCTAGGATCCACATGCTTCTGAAGCTACTTGGCTTCAGGCTTCTTGTCTCCAGCTTCAAGCTTCAGACTCTCAGGAGGCTCACGATAGGCAGGGAAAGCCTCCCAGGGACTGTTGAGGTCAAACTTGCGGAATTCTTGGGCCAACTCCACTGGTTCAGCTACCACCCGCTTCACCTCATCGTCATAACGGAGCTGCAGGAGCCAAAGTTAGAACTGATAACTGAGGAGCCCATTTCACATGAGCACGGTTGACTCCTCCAGTCCCTTCCCTCTCCCCTTGACTTCTGTTCAGTACTCTTTACAGGCTCTGTCACATCCATGCCTACTACCCATGTGGTCACACATTGAAATAAACTCATGTGCGGGGTTTCAAAATGGCCTTTCCTTTTTACCTGCTGCCAGCATTGCTGATTCCTCTGCCACGTTACATCTTGAGCTCTGAACTGTCTATCTGCTAGCAGACTTAATGCTCACCCAACCACACACCTTAAAAGGTAATAGCAAGTACTGACCTCAGATTAGGAACAGTCAGTGGCTGAAAACTAAATTTAGGCTGGGTGTGATGGTGCTTCCCTTTAGTCTCAAAAAAACTTGCCTCAAAAAAAAAAACCAAAAAAAAAAAAACCCAAAACGAGGCTGGGTGGTAGTGATAAAAGCCTTTAATCCCAGCACGTGGGAGGCAAGGTAGACAGATCTCTGTGAGTCTGTCTACAGAGTGAGTTCCAGGCTAGCCAGGACTACACAGTGAGACCCCGTCCAAAAACATTAAAAAGAAAAAAAGAAAAGAAAAAGCAGGACAGGAATGTCATGCATCTCAGCATTTCTAAGTTACCTCACTACAAATTCTTATGTGTGCTAATAAACGGCTTGCCAGGCCACTAAAGCTATGACCCCTCCTCCTCAGTGGCCACCTCTCCCTTTTGTGTGTGCACAATGTATATACACATTCATGTGAGCATGTGCATATATGGAGATCAGAGGTCAACAGCAAGTACCTTCCTTGGTCATTTTCTACGTTACTTATTTAACGTGTATGATTCATGTTTATAGAGTGTGTGTGTGTGTGTGTGTGTGTGTGTGTGTGTGTGTGTGTGTGCGCGCGCGCGCGCGCTCTATAAGTGCTGTTGTTTACTGCTATGTGCAGGCTGGCCAGCCCATGAACTTCCTGGGATTCTCCTGTCTCCTCTGCCCATCTTGCTGCAGGAGCACAGGGATTACTTACGTGAGTTACTATGCACCACTTTACCTGGGTTCTGGGGATCAAAACTCAGGTCTTCTAAGTGCATGGCCAACTGAGCCATCTCCTTGGCCCTTCCCTTATTTTTAAGAAGGGGCCTCCCACTAAGCTTAGAGCTCACTGACTAGACTAGACTGGCTGACTAATGAGCTCCAGGGACCTCCTTGGTTACACATACACCTAGCTTTTTCTGTTGCTATTGTTTTTGGTTTGGGGGGTTGGGGTTTCTCTGTGTAGCCCTGGCTGTCCTGGAACTCACTGTGTAGATGATGCTGGTCTTCATCTCAGGGTCTGCTTGTTTCTGCCTCTGAGTGCTGGGATTAAAGGCTCCTCTGGAACTCAAGAGAGATCTGCCTACCTCAGCCTCCTAAATCCTGGGATTAAAGGCACCCACCACCATGCCTAGCTTACATCCATGCATTTACATGGATCCTGGGGATCCATGCCTGGCTTACATCCATGCATTTACATGGATCCTGGGGATCCACATTCAGGTCCTCCAGCTTGTGCAGCAGGCACTTTACCAACTGAGCCGTCTTCCAGTCCCCACCCCTTTAATAGGCTCTTGCCATGCCCAAGCTGGCCGTAATACAGTCCTTCTGCCTCAGCTTCCCTAGTATTGGGATTATAAGAATGTATCAGGGCCGGGCGGTGGGGGCGCACGCCTTTAATCCCAGCACTCGGGAGGCAGAACCAGGTGGATCTCTGTGAGTTCGAGGCCAGCCTGATCTACAGAGTCAGTTCCAGGACAGCTAGGCCTGAGGACAGAGACAGGACAGAGAAACCCTGTCTCAAAAACAAAAACAAAAACAAAACAAAACAAACAGAAACAAGGGGCTAGAAGGACTGTCCAGACATTAAGAGCACTAGCTATTCTTCAGCTTCGATTCCTAGCACTGGACGTGGTGGACTGTCCCCAGCTCTAACTCCAGTTTCAGGGGATGTGGTACACCCTCTTCTGGCTTCCACAAACACTAGGCACACATATACATATACACAGACACTCATACTCATAAAAATAAATCCCCGACCCCCCTCTGCTTTTTTTTTTCAAGACAGGGTTCTCTGTGTAGCCCTGGCTGTCCTAGAACTTACTCTGTAGACCACGGTGGCTTAGATCTCACAGAGATCCGCCTGCCTCTGCCTGCCAAGTGCTGGGATTAAAGGTGTGCACCACCACCGCCTAGCATAAAAATAAAAATCTTAAAAAATACAAAAAATAAATAAATAAAATAAAATAAAATACAAGCCAGGCATCAATGGTGTAAATCTTTAAGCCCAGTGCTGGGAGTTTGAGGCCAGCCTGCTCTCCAGAACAGCCAGGGTGGTTACACAGAAACACCCTGTCTCAAAAAGCACCTTCCAGGCTGGAGAGATGGCTCACTGGTTAAGAGCACTGGCTGTTTCTTCCAGAGGTCCTGAGTTCAATTCCCAGCACCTACATGGTGACTCACAACCATCTATAATGAGATCTGGTGCCGCCTTCTGGCCTGCAGGCATTCATGCAGGCAGATCACTGTATACATAATGAATAAATAAATCTTTAAAAAATAAAAAATAAAAAGTACCCCCCCCCAATCATTACAATAATGGCTAGCTTTAACTAACACACAATATATCAGGCTTTATACAGATGAGAAAGCTGTCTCATGGCCAAATCAAATAACCTGCCCCAGTTTATAAAATAAAACTAGGCCTGCAGCACAGGCCCTTAAACCACCATAGTCTACAGATCCTATTCCCAGCATGCTTATGATCTCAGGCTCCATGATCGCTACCCCAGTGTTAAGGATTTTACCTCAACATAGCCAGAGAGGGGAAAGTCTTTCCGGAAAGGATGTCCCTCGAAGCCATAGTCTGTCAGGATCCTTCTTAGATCAGGGTGGTTAACAAAGAAAACTCCAAACATGTCCCAGACCTAGAAAAGAACAGCTCTCAGGCAACCTGTCCATCAGGGCCAAGAGCAAATGAGCTGCCCTGCCCCACACCTCCTAGTTACAAACAATGCCGAGCTTCTGGCCCAGAGCAGGACCCACCACATCCAATAACTCACCTCCCTCTCATACCAGTTGGCCGCCTTGTGCACAGAGACTACGGACTCAATGGGCGTCAGCTCATCTGTGTAGGTCTTCACACGGATCCGAGAGTTGAAGCGCAGAGACAGCAGGTTGTAGACAATCTAGGGAGAGAAGCAGCTGGAGGAACAAGGTGGCTACAGGATGAGGTCTACATGACAGTAGCAGGTTTTGTTTTTGATTTGTTTTTTACTTTTTATTTTTTTGGTTTTTCAAAACTGGGTTTCTCTGTTTGGCTGTCCCAGACCTCACTCTCTAAACCAGCCTTTCCTCAAACTCCGCCTGCCTCTGCCTCCCAGTGCTGGCATATGTCACCACTGGGAGAACGTCAGTTATTAAGGATACAGTGAGTCATGATTCCACCTGTGATGCTGTAGTCTCTACAACTACTTAGAACGGCTTCGGCCACACCTGAGGCTCTGCTCAAGTTAGCTGCCCCATCGCTGCCCCATCATTCCCTCTGGAGGCTCTCCCTGCCCACCTGCCCTAACCCTCACTAGGTTGACTTCTGCTCTTCTGTTCACCTTTGAGTTCCAACACACGTAAGGGCTTCAAAGGCTGAAGCAGGACTGCTGAGGTCGAGGTCTGCATGGCAAGTTTCAAGCAGTTGACTCTCCATAGGGTGAGCCTACAAGAGCTGGCACAGCTGTTCTGTCTTCTAAAAAGCCTCCCGGACAGGCTGCGTGTCCTTCTGAGTCTGTTTGTCATTTCTTATTATTATTTGTGTGTGTGTGTGTGTGTGTGTGTGCGCGTGCGT